GTTCTTATTTTTTCCCCATTCCCCTGCCCTCCCTTCAACAACTCCACCCCTGCCTATCTACAAAGACTTTGTTTTCATTTTTTCTTTTTCTCATATTAATTCCATTACCTTCTTCAATTTTGTCATAATATATTCAATAGTTTTCTTCACATAAGGAGATTATGAGTTGAATTTACATTTCTTCATTTATTTTTATTTTTGTTAGTCTATGTTGGTAGAAGATATTGATTGCATTTACCATGGAAGGTTGGTTCATGAACATAACATATCTTAATTCATTTTATGGTTCCCTCCTCCTCTTTCCCCCTTTTCATATTTTTAGTTGGATGCTAGCTCATTTACAAAACCACCAAGAGAAGACATGACCATATATCATGATATGCTCAGTAGATTCAGTTAGATGTTTGACCATAATTTCACTGTTGGAACTGATGCTCCATGATACTGTTGATTTAAAAACCTTCCATATTTCAAAACTTCTATAGTGTCATATATTTGCCAAAATATTGTACAATATTTAAACTCCATCACCATGAGTTTATAACTTACTATATATAATTTTAAATTCATGAAAGATAGAAATGAGTTTCTTCAAAGTTTAACCATTATGTTTTTAGAAAACACGTAAAATGTATTAATACTTCAATGGGCTTAGAAAACAAAGTTGTCCCATTTAAGACAAAATAAAACAGAAACATGAAGAAATACTATAAAAGTATGCTGATCAGAATACAACAAATATTACAAATATGACATGATGACTGAAACAAAAGATTCTAAAGTAAGAAAGTGGTTCATCTCTATATGTAATGAGAACAAAATGTTTTAGGGGATTAGTTAATAAAGACAGAAGTAGAACTTATTTGAGAAATATGGGTGAACTCATGAGTTGACTGCTGCTCACATTCATAGTTATACACTAGAATTCTTGAAAATTTAAGAAAAGCCTCCAAGGTAGTAAATACCCTAAATGTTTAATTAGGGATTTGGATTTGTGGTATGCTCTATGTCATAGAGCAACATGAGTCATAAATGAATTTAGCAGCAGATATTTCACTAGTGATTTCTTAGAGCAACTGTGAAACTTCCACATGATAAATCAGTTCCAAGTGCTTAGATGCACCTCAGAAAAATATTAGATGATGAAAATTAATGACAATGAGCACAGAGCTCCTCTTTGGGGTGTTTTTCTGTGGTAGGAGAAAGAATGAGCCTACAACATCACCCTAAAGTAGGATGAGATGTCTAGAATACTATTTATGTTTAAAAATAAATTCATATACATTGGACATAACTGGAATGAGCTAAGAATCCAATCAGAAAGCATGATTGGGAAGACAGACAAGGAAGACTCTAGAGATCTATTTAGCAGTTAATTAGTGCAATGAACTTGTGGGAGTGTTGTGTTTAAGGAGAGCACTTACAACAGAACATATTTCTCTGAAGAATCTATGACAAGTAAATTGTCTTGAAAGCAAAAGTAATTTAAAGTTATCAGTAGTGTAACTTTCCAAAGAACATCACCACATGCAGAGTTTGAACAGATAGCCATTTTTTCCATCATTTGGAGAGTTTCAAGATTCAAGGACAATTTCAGAAAATATACATAAGGCACCTGCTACATATCATTTCAAACAGCCAGGCCAATATAGATGCCAAATATAGAGAAATTTGGTATATGAAAAGGACATCATTATGTACTTTGTGCAAGATTTTTATCAGAATATCAGAAATAGAAGTTCAACAAGGAATGCAAGACTATATTGCATTCTGATAAGTTCAGTTTTGCCAAAATGTACAATATTTCTCCAATCTCTGCATCACCACAACATTCCCTTAATTATATTCGGATTTTCTCAAATGCCATCATCTTAGTGACACCTCTCATCCTCTATAACATGGTTATACCTTTACATGATCTCATTCTGTTTCCTAAAACATATACTTCATAGCATTTCTCATCATCTAAAAGGCCATAATTTTTTATTCCATTGGGTTGAAATACTTGGAAATAAGATTCTGAAATAGAGATTGCTGGTGAAATCAGGGTGTGCACCTGGAGTGAAATGCTGAGGGAGATAAGAGAAGGAACCTTGGTGAGGATGAGGGATAAAGTAAGCTGTGACCCTATCCTAGGCAGTGGCTTTTGACCCACCAGGGAGTTATGGAGATGAAGATGCACCTTTAGTTTCATCAAGGACTTGAAAGTCATGTCTCAAGACTGCATAGTTTAGTCATTGATGCAGTCCTGGGAAGGGCAAATAGCTGTAGCTGCAGTGAATCTTTTCTACTGAGCAATCCCAGAAGGAGAACGAGAGGGGAGAGGGTTGGGCTGTCTGCCAGCAGTACTCCCAATAGCTGGGGTGAGAATTCCATCCTTCCTGACAGGAGGCACAGTGTCACAATCCAATACCTACTACACTTGTCTTTTTTTGCGTGTTATCTATTTTTTCTCTCATGGATGAATGCTCCATATACCAAGATTTCTATCACTTTTGAAGCATTATATTATCAATGTAAATACAGCAAGGCAATACTGTGCTTCATTCCATTTTGATAAATGAATACATATAATATATTCATGGTTGGATGCATAAATGTGTACATTAGGTATCCCCTATATGATTCAGCTTATTTGTAAAGTAGAAAGTATTACTGTATATTTTGTCAATAGATGAAGACAAAATATTTGAAAAAAAGTAATATCCATTCATGATAATAAAAAATACAAAGAGAGAATTGAAGAAACTATTTTAAATAAGTAGAGGGCATATAAAAATAAAGTCAATAAAATATTGCATAGTTAAATATTAAATGAATCCTTTTTGAAATCAAGAATATAAAACAAAGGCAACTATCATCATTATTCACATTCAAACCACAGAGGATAGATTTGAGCTACAATGAAGAAATGAATATGTTAGAGTATATAATTAGTATCCATATAAAATACCAAATATTCCACCAAGACTGTCTCAGAAATCAAAAAGAACAGGACAAAGTTGCTTATAAAGTAAAAATACACTTACCATTTTATTCAGAGATTGCACTGGGGTATACTTCTAAAGGAAAGAAAATCATTTAAACAAAGATATGTTTATTAAAGCACTATTTATAGTGGCCAGAATATGGAATCAATGAAGGTGTTCACACACTGAAAAATGAGTAGAGGAAATATGATTTATATACACTAAGAAAAATTATTCAGTCCTGTGCAAAATGCTGCTTTGTGCATGAATCTAGAAGAAATTTTGTAAAGTGAATGAAGTCAGGGACAGAAAGATGAATACCACCTTTCCTCACTCATGTTATGGAAGCTAAAAAATTTGATCTCATAAAAGTAGAGAGTAGAAGTCCCAACTGATAGGAAGAGTGGGGAAAAAGGATTGATCTAGACAGGAGCAACAAGTCCTCACATTTCATAGTAAATCATGGTAAGTATAGTCTCCAACAATTTACTATGTATTTCAAAATAATTAGAGGAAATTTGTTTAAAGATTACCAATGCATGGATGCGATAAATGTTTGAAAAGTTAAAAATTGTAATAAACCTGATTGGATCACTTGTCATATTTTACCCCATTAGGAAATATGTACCAATGTTACATGTCAATTATAAAACAGTTTATGAATCGCAACTTATAAAGATTACCCCTGCATTATGAGAAGATCAGAAGTAGTAGTTATTTTTATGATTTTATTATGTCAAACATAACTTTGTACTGACTCATTTTTCAACATACTAGCAATATATAAAAACTTACAAAAATGATTAACTGCGATGTTAGTAGATTGGAGGTACTCAAAAAGAAAAGGAACTTTTTCCCCTAGTGTGCACACACGTGCATATAAACACACACACACAAAACACGGTGGCTTCAACATTTGGTATTTATTTTACTGCAGTTTATTTACTCACCACTTTACATGTTTATTTTAAAGATTTTTACAGTATTTCCTTTCAATATTGACTTGTCATACATCTTCTGAGAGATGAAGAATAAACAAAAGATTTCCCATTAATTCATTAGTCATCTTTGTATCTCTGGGTACCAGGTCAAAATAAGACACCTAAAATTGATTGTGGTGTCCCATGACCAGAAAGAGAAAAGGCACAAGAATGAAACTCACTCATGGAAGAATGAAAGAACCCCAGTGGCTTCTGCCTGGATGCACATTTGAACTCTGATGTACTCAATATGATTATCTGAATACTTTGACCTACTTTAGTGTCTTTATTTTTTCTTATTTCAACTAAATCCATCCTCAGAGGTGCAACTGAAAGATTTCATATGCATATCAAATGATAAATACAGATTTTAAGTCAGTTTCTTGAATTAGGAAGCCAAATATTGTGCATGCTGTTGGTGCTATGCAAGCAATATATTTATTGATGACTGTGCTTATTCATTAATGGGTAAAAATCTCACAATCATCTCAAATCACGAACATTATCAAAAACGCAAATATTATGGCGTGGTAAAACAGAGTATGGAAAATGGTGCTATTACCTTAAAAAGATACATTCTACTCAAATAATTACTTCACAGGATATAAATGTCACCTTCTTTCCCACAAAAGAGGATTTCTACTAGGATTCATTTCTCGTGGACGTAACAAAATGATGAGGAAACAATTCTCTAGACCAGATCACAGCTTGACTTTAATTTTCCTGTGTGGTCCAACTTTTCCAACCTGCCCCTTCTAAAAGTGCACCACAAAAAAATCTTTTGTTAGTAAAACTAGTTACAATGCTTTAGGCTTTTCTTCTATGGAAATTGAGCAAAGATCTTGTGTTTAGTGAATTGAAATGGTATGGCAAAGATAAAAGAGATAGACCTACAGCAATGGCAGGATTCAAGGCAAGATTAAGTCATCTGGTCATTAGGTCATCTCAAAATTTTAAGTTACTGTAGTGAAAAAAATCATTCATCCTGAATCTCTAGGAATCTTGTCATTGTGACTTCCTCTGGAAATACAATTTCAAAGGGAATGACACATCATAGAAGAGAAGTTATCCTACCAGGGAGTTTCTTCAAGGCTTCTTTTATGTCCCTGCTCCTCAGGCTATAGATAAAAGGATTCACCATCTGAGTAACCACAGAATACATCACTGAAGCAACTGAAAACTTCCTCATTGAATCTGTAACTGCAGCACTGATGTACACCCCAAATTCTGTCCCATAAAACAAGAACACAACAGAGAGGTGAGACCCACAGGTGGAAAAGGCTTTATACCTTCCTTTTGATGATGACATCCTTAAAATAGAGGACATGATTTGAATGTAGGAGAAAATTATCCCCAAAACAGGAACACCGGCAAATAGGCTAGCCACAATATATACCAGGATATTATTGATGAGGGTATTAGAACAGGCGAGCTTGATGAGCTGAGCAAGTTCACAGAAGAAATGGGGGATTTCCAGGTCTGCACAGAAGGACAGCTGTAACAACATCAGAGTGTGGACCAGGGCATCCACAACACTAATGATCACAGTGCACAGAACCAGCAGGACACAGAGGTGGGGGTTCATGATGACTCTGTAGCTGAGTGGATGACAAATGGCCACATAGTGGTCATAAGCCATCACTGCCAGGAGAAAATTTTCCAAGACAGTACAAACCAAGACAAAATAAACCTGACTGAAGCATTCTGTGTAAGTGATGCTCTGATCCTGGGCTTGGATATTCAGCAGCATCTTTGGGATCGTTGTTGTGGTTAAACAGATGTCATTAAAGGACAGGCTGGAGAGGAAGAAGTACATGGGGGTGTACAGGTGGGAGTCAGAACTGATGGCCAGGATGATGAGCAGGTTTCCCAGGATGGTGATCAAGTACATGGTCAAAAACAGGTTGAAGATGTGGAGCTGAAGTTGTGGGTCATCTGTCAGTCCCAGGAGAAGTAATTCTGAAATGACTGTTTGGTTTCTAGCTTCCATGTTTCTGATGAATCTCGGAGGAAATGGGGTGAACAGAATAAAATGAATGGGCTACAAGCAGCAGCAGGAATGTGTTAGAAAACCATGACTACAGATATCCAGATTTCTAGACTTCCAGCTTTTAAAATAAGAAAATAAATTTCTACTATTAAGCACCTCTGTCTGTGGTACTTAGTTATCACCACAGCCTTAACAACTAAGAGAATCATCAGAATCCTTGCCCAATACCTTCACAAGAATACACATAAATGTCAGAATATTTTTGAAACCATCATAATGTTTGAGAAGGTACAGATTCTGTTCCAAAGGAAATAGGCCCTGTTCATTTACAGATTATGAGATTAAGCAAAGGAAAGGAGTGTGAGTATTGACGCAAATGTACAGTACAAGGTATCAAACACAACAGAGAGGTGCATCGTGGGTGGTTGTGTCCCATAGCATTCCCCTTCCCTTGGTTCTTAGCTTTCCTCAATGGTTCCTAGGATAAAATTCACCTGGTTGGTTTCAAAAGCACAGATATTCAGCATCTTATCTGAATATTGAAGTTGGAAGATGTATCCTCAGCAAGGGAGAACAGACTAAACATGTCAATGGGAGCTGGTCAGAAATATCTCATTGCAGTTTCACTTATATGAGAAAACCAAAGAATAAATAAAGTAAAGAGGAAAATAAAATATAAGTAATAGTTAGATAAGAAACTGGGAAATATACCCTTTGCAGTCTGGAAGGCGACCTGGGATGGAGGGAGACAGAAGGAAGAAGAGGGGAAGTGGAATTTAAAATGCAAAAGATGCAATACGTATCTGTACCAAATGCACACAGTGAATGGATTCACTATATATCACATATATGCACTAATAAACAAATAAGCAATATAAATTTTTTAAAGATACAAATAAAGAATAATTATCTCTGGGAGGAGGCTCAGGTAGTTTTCAGACTGAAGGAGGGCTGTTGAGTGGGGTCACTCAATGACTCCTCTTGCCTCTATATTCCAAAGAGATTAATATACAAAGCACCTCATTAGACCTGCTATTTAAGTATAAGTCTCCTCCCAGGAGTACTTGTCCTTGAGGACTAATGCTACACAAGTGAATGATTCAGCATGGTGGTTTGCCTGACCCCTGAGGCCAGATACAGAGAATTCACTTTCTCTTTTCTATTCATCTCTATTATCTGACACCATATCCATTTATCAACCCACCAATAACAAATTCCTATATTGACTTCAAGTTACAAATGAAGGAATCTTTATATAATTGTTGATATCTGCAAGACTGATATCTATTTTAGATGAGAAATATATCTTTATATGTGGAAGTAAATAATACAGTTATAAATATTAAGAAAAATACTAAATACACAAATATTTAGTTATGTATTCTGTATCATTTATGTGTACTGAATTTTAATTTGGGGGTTTTATTGTTAACACAGAACATTTTAGTCTATTTTTGCACTCAATACTGATTGCCAAAAATGTATGGAGAACATGACTCCATATCTGGAATCCCATGAATACATTTTCCCTACTGTCAGAATGATTGCCAAGGTTTTCTTCACAGATGAAGACTGAGTTGAAATTATATGCATTCATTTTTATTTGAGGTATAGTTAGGTTACAAAATCACCAAAAATCCTAGTATGCAGATGTGTGCACATGCTGAATACATTTGTTCAGATTCCAACAATCATTTATGGGTTAAGTGGTGCTTCATAATAATGCTCACTTTAAATTAGTCTTTCATATTCCAGGACTTCCATATTTTCACATTTATCAACGTGCTTTCTACCATAACATCTCATTTGGTGTGATTTACAATTTCCAAGATAGAAACTTAAAATTTAGTTCAAAATGGCATTGTATTGTCTCACTTCAACATTTTAATGCAATTCACTTTTTCTTCCATTAAGTTTATTGGTACATTTTTGGTATATAATACAGTTACACTCATCATTGGGATATTGTAGCTTTACATGTTTTATGTTGGTTCTTAAATTTCCCCATTCTCCT